CATTTGCCATGCTATGGGGGCTGCTGGGGGTCTCGTGCCTGCTCACTCCCAGCTCTACAGCCCATGGGGAGGGGGTGATGCCCTCCAGTGAGGCACATCCCCGGAGGTGCCTTGGGATGTGGGATGAGTTGAGGTACCTGAAATCCCTTCCACCTCCCGGTGCCACCTCCCTTTGAGCTGCTTTAACTCTCTGGAGCCTGAAATGAGGGCAGTGGTGGGGGTACGGACGGGGGCTGCTCCATCTGATGGGGGCTCAGCTCTCAGGCTGCAGAGCTGCCCCCCCAGCCCCGCAGCTCCCGTTGGGATGTAGCATCCCTGCTGTGACAAAGCCACCAAATCTGATGCCTCTCCTCATTCCCTCGTGGTGCTGGGGCTGTGCTTTGGTTTTGGGGTGGTTTCCTCCCCCCCAAAGCTGTTTGCAGGGATGTAAACCCAATGCGCCGTAATTCAGCCCCAATGTAAATGTCATGTCAGCGTGGGAACGGCGCAGCTTCCCGGGGGTTGGCGTGTCAGCCGAGGGGCTCCCCGCATCCCGGGAATGCGGATGCTCCCCCCCACCCCACCATGGCCCCTTCTCCCCCTCCACCATCCACGGGGCCGGGCCCGGCTCCGTTTCCTCACCGGGAATGGGTTTGGTGGTCACCCCAAGAGGAATTCCCAGGGGATCCAGGCTGTGGCCGTGGCCCAGGGATCGGGGTCTGGTGTGTTTGTGGTGGGCTCTTTCGGGAGGGGACCAGGGCTGCGGGAAGAGCTTTGGAGTTCCTCATCTCGGGCTGGTTTTCACTTAGGCAAAGCAGAACCATGTGTCCCGTGCACGGCTCTGGTTTTGCTTATGGGGGAACCGGAAGAGCTGGGGAGGGGAAGAAGGAGGGGCAGGGATGAGCAGGGCTGTGGATGTGCCATTGGCCATCAGTGCCTTTGGCCTGCAAAGCACGAGGCTGTGGGAGAGCCGCCAGCGGGGACCCGGCTGCCGCTGCCCTGTGTCGCCAGCCAAGGGAATGCCTGCACTGAGGCTGCGGCTCTGAGTGTCCCAGGAATCACCCCTGGAGCGGAGCTGGAGAGGGAAACGCTGTGGTTCCCCCCCACTTACACAGCAAACCTCAGTTCAACTCAGGCCCCGCTCTGGGGCTGCTTTTCCCTTTCAGCACTCCCCACTTTGGGGCCAGTTTTGCCATTTTGGGGCTGGTTTGACCCCGGGGCATCCTGCTGCAGGCTCTGGTACCCGCGGTGCAGCATCCGCCCTGCTTTGGGGTGTCAAACACACTGATGCTCTTTGTGGGGTTCAACTCCCACCAGAGCACGTCAGGAGCTTGCAGTGAGCCCTGTGTGGGTGCTTTCCACCATCCCTGTCCCCTCCGACCATCCTCGGAGCAGGCTTGGAGGTGGAGGAGCCGCTTTGCAGCAGCCTCTGGAGCTGCTTCCCCATGAGCCTGGATGGAAATTGTTTAATTCCAGCGGGATGAGTCATGAGGAGCCGGGGTTTCAAAGCCGCTTGGCTCCCATGTAAGGCACTCAAATAAACAGTGTGTGGCAGGTGGAAGCTCTCTCTGATGTCCCGTCAAGGCCTTCGTCTTTCCAAGTGCTTTGTGGTGCCAAAAAGCCCTCGGCCACTCCATGGCCTCCTCCATTCTTGCACAGCGTGGCTGAGACCAAGTGCTTGAAGGTAATAAATCAGTGCCCGGAAGCATGAATCTGCTGCAGATTTATGGCACACTTACTTAGGATATAATGTCTTTTGGGTTCTCTTGGCCCTTGGGCTTTGATGCATCGGGGCCGAGAGTTTTCACGTCTCCTCCTTCTGCCTCCAGCAAGAAGGGTACAAAAGAGAAATCTCTGCTTTTCCCTCCTCATCCCACGACTCCAGGAGCTGAAGCTTCAAGTCACTGGATACTGGGAGCAAATCCTGCTTGAAGCATCAGGAATGGGTTAGAAAAGAGCAATGAGAAAAACTGAGGGTGTGAGCAGTGAGGGAAGTCCGAGAAGCCCAAACTGCTCCGGGTTTGTGAGCAAAGGTACCGCATCCGCAGCGAAGGGGTCCCTGCTTTTGGATTTAACAGGAAAAAGCAGCGGAAATGCTGGCACTTGGGCGCTGAAGTGAAGAAAAGCAGAAACAAGACTGGATTGATTCCAGTTTATTTCATGGGATTCCTGCTGAAGAGTGAGGCTTGGGAGAGTTTCCTTAGGGATGCGGGGTGGATTCATTGGATCCCCTTTGAAAGGAAATCTGAGAGGAGGATTGAGGGGTCTGCAGCAGCGGGGACAGACAAGGAAATCAACTTGCTCCCTCCAGATTAAGAGACAGGAATTGGCCATGCTGCTGTTGGTTCCTTTCCCATTGGATTTCCAGTTCTCCAGGACACGGAGCGGTTCCTGCTCCGCTTGGGAAGCAGCGAGCCCTGCGTAGGGATGAGAGCAGGGCAGGTGATGGAGGCTTTGGCCCTTCATGGAGCTGGGGAGAATGCCTGTGTCCATCCCAGGACGTGTTGGCAGCAACCAGTGCCCCATGCCTCAAACCCCGTGTGATCATTTATCATCACAGGGAGTAGGTTTGAGCGATGTGGAAACCAGGAAGATGGAGAGGGCAGCTCGGCATCATCCCGGCTGAGTCACGGCTCCGATGCCTCTCTTTGTGTGTGTTTTTCCTTTCCCCTTCGGCTCTCACCGCAGGTTGGCACACGCGGTCCAAGGCTTTTTACAGCGAGAGAAACCAAAGGCAAAGCCTGGAATGTTGGGAGTTTGGATATTGTTTTGAGTGCTGGAGCCGGGATTTCAGCCTTTTGAAAGGTCACTGGCGATGGGTGGGGGCCAGGCTGCCTGGCGGCTGGAACAGCAGCCTCTTTTATGGGATGTGCAGCAGGGCTGAAACCGCTCTGCGAGCATTTTATGGGCTTGCAATGAGCCAGAGGCGCTCTCTCAGGTGGATGGGTTGAAGGTCGCAGCCCTTCCCTCCCCAGCGCAGCCGTGAGCAGCTCAGGAGGTGATGATGAAGGTCCAGGCCATGTGTGATCCCATCCTGGTTGTCCACCATGGTATTCACCTCCCAGAATGCCCAAACATCAGCTGCCAAAAGCTGCTTCTCCTCCCATCCAGCATCACTGCATGCGGGTCCCTTCTCACCACCCAAACCCCTGCATCTGCATCACCCGGGGCTGCTGTTCCTTCATCCCTGAGCTGTCACCAGGTGCCCAAGAGCAAACTGCAGCTTCCTCAGGCCTTCACCGTTTGGCACCCATCCCCTCTGCCTTGCTGGGAACTGGTTGATGCTGGTGAGCGTTTTCAGTGCTGTTTCCCCGCTCCTGCTCTAATCTCAGAGGAGAAATCTGAATTTAAGGCACCCAATTCATAGAATCCCAGAACCCCAGCCTGGTTTGGGGTGGAAAGGACCTGAAAGCTCCTCCAGCTCCAACCCCTTCCACTGGAGCAGCTTGCTCCAAGCCCCTGTGTCCAACCTGGCCTTGAGCACTGCCAGGGATGGGGCAGCCACAGCTTCTCTGGGCACCCTGTGCCAGTGCCTCAGCACCCTCACAGGGAAGAGCTCCTGTCTCAGAGCTCATCTCATCACGATGATGGATGTCGGTGCCAACACACCCAGCACCTCCATCACCCTCCTCACACCTTCTGGATGGGGCAATCAGCTCCACCTTGGCTCTGCAGGAGGAGACGGGGACGGGAGCATCCCAGCCCCTTCCTGGTGCTCCTGATGCTCCCCATGAGCCGGCTGCAGGCTCCAACCTGGTGCTGCCGGTGCTTATCTCCCCCAGCTCCGCCGCCGTGTTCCGGGCGGCATCGCATGGTCTGACCTCCTTATATGGTGAAACTATTCTTTTCCTAGCTTGGCATTGTTTATAGTTGGAAATATTTAGGCTCTGGCTGGGTTCTACAATTACCTTGTAACCTACAGGGCAGATAATCACTGTTAGCTAATGTGCAATTAGCTGCATCCTGTCAAAGAAAGGCTTGCTGGCAAGGAGGCGGCGTTCCCAGCCCTCCTTGTGTTCTTCAAGAGCAGGAACCTGTCAGATTCCATTTGGAAATAAACATTTTTTCCCCTGTTGGTAAATTCTGTTTGGCAAAAAATTGCTGAACCGGGGACGCTTTTTGTTGTGCTTTTTTTTTTTTCCCCTGGTGGAAAATTTATTTGAAAAGGGGAAAATGTTTGGAGTTTGTAAGGAGCTGGAATCAAACAAGGGGCCGGGAGGCAGCTGCAAGTCAGTGCAGCTTCCAGAGCATCTTTGATGGGGATTTAATGCCTGACAGCCCATGGATGGGAGCACGGACCCAATTCCCTGCTGCCCTCCCTGGCTGCAAGGTCAGTTGTAAAACCCCACCAGATCCAACCTGCTTTGGACGGAGGAAATGGAATGGCGCAAGGTAAGGGTGCACTTTTCCTGCAAGGGAAATGCCAGTGGGGTTCCTTTATGCTTTGAGAAACCAGGCTGCGCTGCACTGGATGTTCTGCATGGCCGAGGTCCCACCTGAAGCCTTGCAGCCGTGCTGGGATGCTCCAGGCATCCCATTCACTTCTTCCTGAGGTTGTCATGATTTTGGCTGGGTTGGATGGAGCTGCCGTGTCCCTGTGCCAGCGGGGAGGGATTTGGGCTCTGGTTGAGCATCTGAGTGGGAGGATGGCAAGGACACCAAAGGATACTGGGGCTGTGCGAGGAGGAGGAAGGACGATGAAGCTGGGGCTCCTCACACTGCTCACTACACCCCAAGGAGTGGATGTGCCAGGCAAAGAGGTGTCACGGGCTGGGGTTACATGAGTTTGCCCATCCTTTACCCACAGCCTTCCACTGTGATACCAGCCCCTGGTGTGAGGAAACTTGGCCGGAGCAACGGGAGGTGGATATCATGGAATGGTTCGGGTTGGAAGGGACCTTAAAGCTCATCCAGTTCCAACACCTTGCACTAGAGATCAACCAGCCTGGCCAGGCTGCATGGCTTGGCTGAGGACACCCCCTTGTCCTTTTGCCACCACTGGCCCAGGCCACCCTCACCTGCCGTGGCCAATTCCCCCTCTGCAGCGCAGCCCTATCTCTATGCCTCAGTTTCCCTACATCAGCACTGCTCCAGTCTCAGGAGGGCAGAGGGGATGAGATGGAGCCTACGGGATGCTGGTGGTGCCATGGGAGATGGTCATCCAGTCCAAGCCGTGGGGATGCGGGGCGGGAAGAGGGGCCGTGGGTGAAGGCCATGTAATAAGGATATTTGTTTTGCCTGTTTTGCAGAGTTTCAATGTTCTGACTTGCTCTAAGATGAAGGTATGGAAGTTTGCAGCCATTGCATCGATGCTCCTCAGTTCCATGTTATCCATTTTAGTTTGTAGAGACATGCTCAACGGAAGCCGGAAATACAGCCCCTTGCCTTCCTCGCCGTCTTCCTCACGGGCATCCTCCTCCTCCTCCTCATCCTCCTCCTCCTCGCTGCCGGTGGCTCCCCGGAGATCCCCACGGGCCCTGCAACGCCACAGCTCGCTGCTCGCCCAGTGTAAGCTGCTGCGCCTCGGCCTCAGAGCCACCGTCCCTCCTGGTCCCACAGCATCCGGCCCCACACTCCCATTGGGACACGCTTCCAGCTCACAAACAGCGCTCCATGGGGTTTATTCCCTTGGTTTCCTTTCCTGCTCTTGCTTCTGCACACCCCTTTATGCATGGTTAAGGAGGTGCTTGGGATGCAGCAGGGGGTCCTGCAGCGCAGGCGCTGGGCACCAAACCGTGAGCATGCAAACAGCTCATCTTAATGCGAAGAAGCTGCTTTTTTAGCACCAAATGGCTTTTTATTTTAATTTTTAGGGTTTTTTTTTCTATATTTCTGTGCTATTTTGACACATGCTCCATGTCAAACGGGAGCTGAACACGAGGGGGACGGCTCCGCTCCACGGGGAGGCAGCAGCTTCCCCCCTCGGTGCTGGCAGGCGGCTCAGCATCCTGGCGTGTCTGTTCCCCTTCCAAACCAGAACAACTTCTTTTGGGGCTGAAACGTGGGAATCGATGACAAGTTGTTAAATTACACTTTCCTCCATCCTTCCTGCACCTCCCCCGGCGCTGAGCTGGACCAACCCCAGCTTTAGCGTTTGGATAAAGGGATTTGGATGCTGCCATTGGTGGCTGGGGACAGTTTGCATGTTGGGGGAGGGAGATCTTCCACCCAGGCCATAGGGAAACACTCTGGCTGGTTTTTAGCAAGGAAAAGGAATAAAAGTCCCCAAAATCGTTGTGGCTGCCCCATCCCTGGCAGTGCTCAAGGGCAGGTTGGACACAGGGGCTTGGAGCAAGCTGCTCTAGTGGAAGGGGTCCCTGTCCGTGGCAGGGGTTGGAGATGGAGGAGCTTTAAGGTCCCTTCAACCCAAACCAGTCTGATTCTGTGTTGTGCTGGGAGTGGAAGGGGCTGTTTGGGACAGCTCCAGGCAGGGGAGGACACAAGAAAATAAGGCAAGAAAGGGGAAAGGAGAGGAAGGAGTTTGGGGTTTTTCACCTGGGGGCTCCCAAGGCCACGGGGGAGCTCTGGCCTCGGGGTCTGGGGTTTGGGTTTTAAAGCCTTGGGGTGCCTCATGCACACCTCAAGACGGCTGCTGGGAGCCAGCACAGGGATGGGCTCTGCCCTGAGGACCTCCAGTGTGGGCGGCGTCCACCTGCCCCAGGCCACCCCCATTGAATCCTAGAATGAACCAGGTTGGACAAGACCCTTAAGAGCATCAGGTCCAACCGCTCCCAGCAGTGCCAAGGCCACCTCTGCCCCATGGCACTGAGGGCCTCCACGTGCCCTAAACCACCTCCATCCTCTGGAGCATCCCCTGCGCGGCGAGGCGGGGGGCCCCCACTGACGCGCACCCGTTCCCTTGCAGACAGCAGCCTGCTGGAGAGCTACACGGAGGGGGAGATCCGGCAGCTGATCGCGGCGCTGGTGGAGCGCTACAGCCAGGCCATGAACTCGGGCGGGCACGAGCTGCCGCTGTTCCCCCGCGCCGGCAGCCGCCGCAAGCGCGCCCGCGCTCGCCACAAACCCTGCGCCTTGAAGGAGCTGGAGGTGAGCGTCAGCGAGCTGGGGCTGGGCTACGAGTCGGACGAGACGGTGCTGTTCCGGTACTGCAGCGGCACCTGCGAGGCGGCCGTGCGCAGCTACGACCTCTCACTGAAGAGCATGAGGAGCAAGAGGAGGATCAAGAAGGAGAAGGTCCGGGCGCGACCCTGCTGCCGGCCGCTGGCTTACGACGACGACGTCTCCTTCCTGGATGCCTACAACCGCTACTACACCGTCAACGAGCTCTCGGCCAAGGAGTGCGGCTGCGTGTGAAGGGCCGCGGTCCCCTCGTAAGGAACAGGAGGGAGAGGTGATGCCCCGGCCCCGGAACCTCGCTGGTCACCAGGCAGAGAGACCGGGCACAAGGATAAGCCCAGACCTCCGGGTGCAGCAGGAGACACTGAGCTGCTGGTGCGTCCCTTGGCACCGCACAGGACCAGAGACGTGGCTGGGGGTGCCGGTGAAGGCTGCGGTTGTTGGAGCGGTGATGGCTGCTTGCGGCTGTTGTCCCACCCCGGCGGTGGCCATAGGGTCCTTGTCAGCCTCCCCGGAGGGTGACGGTGGGTGCACAACACACGCAGGGCATGCTCGACACCGGGAGTGCAACGTGTCACACGTCGAGGTTGTGTTACAGGCAGAGGGGGTGTTGCGGAGCGGGTGTCCCCCCGCCATGGCAGAGGTGATGGGGCACACTGGGCAGCGTGTTTGTTCACAGGGGGTGTTGCTGCATATGGCGTGGTGCTGGTGGTGTGTGTGCTGGTCGGGGTGTGCTGTGTGCCCGGTGTGTGTTATGGGGTGCATTAGATGGCTGTATGTGCCCCAGACGGGGCTGAGCCCCGCAGGTCCCTGCACTCCCAGGGGCAGTTTTGTCACCCCGGATCCCTGTGTTTGGGGTCAGAGATGCCCCGGCACTGGCTGGTGCTGGGGGGGAAGGCTCTGGCTCCGCTCCCCACCGATGCCCCCTTCACCATCACCTCCACACTGCAGCCCTGGGCTTTTCTTTTTAAAGCTCACGCTGATCTGAAGTAACTGGATTAACCTCGAGCCCGGGCTGCCGGTGACAGAGCCTCGAGAGGCCCCCGGTGCAGCCACCGGTGCAGGAGCATCCCCGGTTCGGCATCACACAGAGCCGGACCGGGCTCTCCCGGCTATGGCATGTGAGTATTGCCCCTCAGTGGGGCTGGAATCCTGCGGGAGAGGGGGCTCATCCCGGGCCTTGGCTCCGGTTCGCATTTACAGCAGTGTCACTCTTGTTTACTCTGCGGAGAAATAAATGAGACCGCAGACTTTGGTGTCCTGGGGGCAGGCTATATTTGCTGCCTGGGATTGATGGGCTTTCTCCCCTTGGCCCCCTGCCCAGAAAAAGCAAATCATAAACAGAAGGAGAATATTGGTGTCATGTCCTGGGCATTAACCAACATGAGGGAAAAGGGCTCTGCCTGCCACCCCCTGATCGCAGCAGTGTCCCAGCTCCTCCATCCGGCTCAATGGGACTAAATAGCCCATCTGCCTCCATCCCAGCGCAGTAGTGATGAGGAGGAGTCCTCATAGAGGTGACCACAGCAGCCGATGGAGCAGAGTGGGGTGGGAGACAGCACCCACTGTGACCCCGAACCCCACAAAGGGCTGGGCTGGTGGGTTTGATCTTGCTTTTTCATCCCAATGCAGCTCTTGGCTGAGCAGAACCAGGATGCAGTGAGGCAACATAAACAGCATCCTTCAGCAGCTCTGGGAAAGCAGCCTGTGTTCCCTAACACAGCGTTGTCCTGCTGGGGAAGGGAGAAGGCAGCCATAGACATGGGGAGCATCCGTGCTGGTGAGCCCACAAGGGCTGGTGATTCTGTACCATGCAGACAAGCATGGTCCATGCCGCCGGTGCTGTGCTGCAGCGCAGCAAGGGAGAGTTTGCACCACAGGGCTTGCAGGGAAAGGAAGAAGCTGGCCCAAGGAGCAGTGGGAGCAGGATGGGGACAGCCATTGGTGTGCTATTGACTTTAACAGAGTAAATGCACCCAAATGTACTAATGCTGAGGGCGCTCTCAAGGGCCTGGGTGCTTTCCAGTTCTCACTACTATAAAACTATATTTAGTTCTGTTGCAGTAGGGAAAAAAAACCCCAAAAGGAGCTGGAGCAATAAAGCAAGGGAAGGTGTTGCAGAAGCAAAGCAGGGCCCGGTGCTGCGGGAGCAGGGTTTGCAGCCTGGCTGCCTGGAGTTTCCTTACCCGGAGCACAAGGAGGTGGCTGGGAGACTTTGGAGCCTTTGCTTGGGAAATGGTTTTTTGGCAATATCTCGGGATTTAGGGTGCCTCGATTTGCAGGGCTCAAAGGCAAAGGGAGCAGGGACCCTGTGTAAATGCACCCCAAAGAAAGAAGCACGCTGGGAACCCCCCCAGTGCAATGTGTGTGTTGCAAACCAACACAAATAGCTCCAATTCATCTATTTTTCCTCCTTTTCCCTTTCACCCGCCAGCAGCTGAGCACCAGAGGAATAGGGGAAGCGCCTGACATCCGCGGCTGCGCCTGCACGCTTGGGGTTGGGATGCAGCTGGGGTTTGGGATGCAGCTGGGATTTGTAACTGCAGAACTCCCTGTCCAGGTGTTGGGGTCAGCTGGGGCATCACGGCCATGGCCAAAGGATGGCTTCTGCTTTGTGTCTTCTCTCGTGCATCTCATTGAGGTCCATCCTCCGCGTGGAGCTGCTGCGGCTCCACCGCAGGAGCGCTGCTCATCCTGCGCGCTTCGCTGCCGCCTGGGCATGGAAATGTGGTTCCAATCGAAAGGCTGATATTTCCCTAATGCTTTCCATTTCTACAGCCCTCTCCGCTGTAATAGGAGCTGGAGCTGTCCGGAAGAATGTCTACAATGCAGAAAGGGCAAAAAAGGACGGAAAATTCCCTGCGCAAAGCTACAACAAAATCGCATCTGGCTCCTTCCTCCTCATCCCATGCGTTATTTAATGTTAATAATAATAAACAGGGTGCAGCATCCGCATGGGGTTGGGTTTAGGTTGGGTTTTCTGCAGCTTGCCTCGGTGCTGCTGCAGCTTTGCATCACTCCCCAGGCGATGAGGAGGGCTTCACAGGGCTGGAAACATCGGGAGGTTTGGAAACACGAGGAGATGTTTAAAACTCTCCCCATGGTTGTGACAGCGCAAAATACGAGTGTTGTGTTATCCCGGCTCTGCGACAGTGAGTTATGGGATGTCTCTTTGTGTTTTACTATACACACTGCTCTATGTACAGCCTGTGTTTGTGTAACGCTGGCCAGTGCCGGGGGCAGCCGGAGCACCGGGGCTCCAGCTCTGGCTCGGATCCACCCGTCACTCGCATCCATTGGGATCCCATTTGCTGACATGGTCTCACTCCCGAGTTGGTATCAGTGAGGGGGAACCGGGTCTAACATCATTGTTTCCACTCTATGGAAGCACTTGCAAAGGGAACGTTCCTTATTTAAACAGGTCCAGAGACTTGCTGGGAAGAAATCACTTTCCCAATTTATCAAGCAGGATTCAAAACCTCAGCCTTCTTCCCTTGGTAAATAGGGCTACCACATGTTTTCCTTCTCGGTTCAACGAGGCGTAGCCTCCAATCTGAGGCCCAAGAGATGGGGGGGGGGGATGAAAAAGGGGGGAAAATAAAGGAAAACAAGGAAAAAAACAGGACAAAAAGGAGCCTGGTTTCACAGCCGGGCAGGAGCGCACGGCCCAGCCCGCAGCTCCGCTCGGCACCATCCGGATAAACCCATTTCCCTTCTGGTATTGTCGGGTCTGACCGACCATCTGCAGAGGTTGATGCAATGCATCTGTATTTTCGATACTCTCTATTTATTGGAAGTAACTTATGTTATTTATTTAGATCCCATAGCGTGCCATCTACGTAACGCGCTCTGTCTTTCTCTCTCTTCTTTGTTTTGTAACTTTATTTATTGATCCAGTGGTGCCAAGTGCAGTTTACATTTATGACGTTTTTACCATTTATTTGGAACATTGGGGGGAGAAGCAAAGCAGTCTGATGGTATTTTTTTTAAGCAACCATAAAGGCGGGTGTGATGCTGTTCCATACTCACGACAAAGTGAAAATAAAAGGATTATATTGATTTTTTGCCATGTATTGTCTCTCAGTGATGGGTAAGCGATGGTGATGTTATGGCCTCAACATGGGGATGGAAATGGGAGAGCAGAGGAGGTCCATGTGGCAGGCTGAAGGATGGCAGGAGCTTGCCTTTATGCTCCAGTTTCCTTTAGGAACCTCCCTGCACACCTGCAAACAGCTCCATTTCTTCCGTTTTCATCTGTTGTAAAACTATACTGATGCAACCAGTGATTTGGGACATTGTCTGCATGGGGCTGTGCTACCCCTTCTTGTGAAGGTGCTTCCAGTTGGGTTGGCTCAAAGACATGCCAAATCTGGCCAAATCACATTAAAAAACCCAAGGAAAAATAAAAAGAAAGAAATGGCAAGGTTTTGATAAGGTCAGCCAGAAAAAAAAGCCTCAGTTGCTCCTCTGGAAGCGGTGCTGAGGTTAGACACATATTTCATTTGATATGGAAAACACCTCAAAGGCGGCAGCAGTGTTGGCCGGGGGTTTGTTGCTCTTCCCATTAGGATGATGACGGTGGATGATGTTTCAGGTTGGATGAAAGGCTGCAGTTTGAGAGCCAGGCCAAGTTCAGGACACAAACGTGTTTCAAAGTGGAAAATGGAAGCGCTGGGCCCAGCTCACCCCAGCTCCTTCTCCCTGCTACTGGTTTCCAGCAGCTCTCCAGGGGACGAAAGCCAGAGGGGACCTGCTGTTGAAGCCCCATTTTAGCACAGATTAACCTCATTGAACAGGCGCTGACCCTTTTAGAAGTGCATTTACCCCTTCTAACGTGTGCTACCCCACAGTGAACACAGGTTACCTCCAGTTAACACACATGACCCCCTCCATTTGACCCCATTGAGCACAATTACCCCAAATTAGCACCTATTATAATTATGTCATTATAACTTAAGGCACATTACCCCCATTTAAGGCACATTATGGCATTTAAGGTGCAGAGCATCAGTGTCCCTGACAGGGAAATGCCTGTCCTTTAAAATCACTATCCTCCCACCCCAGTCTGTCCAGAAAAAAAGATGATTTTTAGTTCTTTTTTCACTGAAAAAATAGGCTGAAAATCCCTAAATCCCATGGTGAGGGTGGGCACAAGCTCCTGGGCTTGTAGTTAAACCATTTTGGACCCACAAAGGCTCCTGTTGGGGGGCGGTTTGGGGAATGGAAAGAAAGGTCTGTTCACATTCCCCTCTCTGCCCACCCAGAGGCCTGACAGCCCTCGTGGCCGAGTCAAACCTTGACGCTCGAGGCTCCGCTTTGTAAGTAGTTTATGAAGCATCTTTTGAGACTCATAAATCTCCGCAGGCGCGCACGCATGCGTCCGGGCGCGCTCCAGAGAGCGCTGCGATCCCCTGCCAGCCTGCCCCGGGAAACAAGAGGGGGAAGAAAGAGCACAAAGTGAAGCTTTAATGCTTGGAAAATCTGACTCCTCCAAGAGCAAGGGGAAAAAAAACCAGAGAGGAAACAACAGCGTGAAGCTGGGGCTGATTTTGGGTGCAGTTTCTTGCAGATGAGGTGCACGTTGCTGGTTTTTGTGGTGTAAATGGGAGATCTTCTGGTCCTTGCTTTAAAGCCCCAGCTTTACAAATCCCAGCTCTCCAG